CTAGGATTAAAGGTGTGGGCCACCACATTCAACTCCTCCTGTGCTTTTTAACTATAGATCTGTACTAATACTCTGCATATCCTCCGCAGCTTCACCTCCCTTCTGATGTACATTACGTTTGACATCTTCAGGCCTAGGTTTTACATGGATACAGGTGTTGTTTAGAAATAGTACAATACTAAAAAATACCAGACTTCAGAAACACTGTGTTAAGGCAGACCAGAGACTTGCACTAGCAACATATATTTTCTTTTTAAATAAATATGATAGGAGTTAGCTCATGGAAACACGTAGACTGGTAAATTTATCATTTAATTTGGGGCTTCAATTAATTTTTTTCTCTAACTTAACAACTTTTAAGTCTGACTTGACTTAGAAGCAAGTGAAAGTATTTGTGGAAAGTGAATGTCATTTGAATCAGTGATGCAGGTAATTTATTTGAATTATTTTCATAAGTTTTTTATTTTTGAAATCATTTCTACCAAGTGACATTTTTTTCTAAGTTAATGAGGTGCTTTGCACATGGACTATTTCCCCCTTGCAAAGGCCTTTTTGAATGAATTATACTCTAGTAGATTCTGTAGCTTTGATGTTATCATTTCAGAAAGCTGGAGAATATAGATAATCTAAGTACATGACCACCTGGGAGTTGGCGTTCCAGAACTCATCCAGTTTGGAACGCATCCAGGTGACTAGTTTTGAGATTATACTGACCGCTTATGGAAGAAGAATAAAAGGGGGTGTGCATAAAAGGACTCGGCTATCCCTAAATATTCTGAAGAAGCATGGTTTCTGTTTCCAGTGTATGTAGAGGATGGAAAAGAAGAGATGGAGTTTAGTGGAAGCAAAAGAGGAAAAAACAAAACAACAAAACAACCCGCTAAAACAACAGAATTATATTGATTGAGTGAGAAAGGGTTCCAGGAGCTAGAAGCCCTACACAGTGAGTCCAGCTGCTCTGCCTCCTGCTTTGCACTCTTCTGATAAGAAACATGGTGCTCATGAAAAGACTGAGTTCCCTGGACATGCGTGGGGAATGCAGTAGATTGGTATTTCACAGATTAGGACTTGATGCGGTGGTGCCAACATCTCCAAATACTAAGGAGTAAAGGTTTGGGGAAAGAGAAATAAATAACATTTAGCGCTTGGTTCCTCAGACACATGCTATGATTGGGGGTTACCACTTTCTTACAACAAACCAACCCAGTGTTAACTTTTGAAGTTAGCCGGCACGCAGCTACAGATATCATCCTGTACAATAGGGTACATCTTATTGTTTCTTCTGAAGATTGAAGAATGTTTCTGACATTTGTGGGCAAAGTGTGCAACAATAAATGATTGTCTTTGTTCATTCTGGTAGTCTGTTTTACAGGATTGTATCTTGGCATTTATTCAGGCAGTGCACAATACCCCAGTTACGATAGCTCTGGAATATATGTGACTCTAAAATTGCTTTAAGTACCTTTGCAAAAGTGTTTACATTTATGATAATTATTCATAGTTACTCGTTAGTGGAAGTAATAGCTTTAAGTATTTATAATTTACTTTAGGTCCTTACAGTTGTGATAACTACTAGCCTTCATTGGAGCTAATTTGAGTTGGTATATTGATATATTGTCTGATTGACTACTGTTTAGTGTTACTTGGCTATAGTGACATTTTATAAGTAGTAAGAATCAGATTCTATCAGCTTTAAATCCAATAAGGTCATATATAAGTGGCAAACTTTCATTTTAAAGCACTTTGCTTTGTTTTGGTGGTTATTGCAGAGCTGTGTAAGCTAGTCAACCAACCAGATTTATTTGAGTCATTGGCTATATTATTTTTGTAGAAACATAGGTCACTTTATGAAACTGATTTCATAATACTGTTAATATTTTGTAAGCTTGCAACTTATAGTTTTCTTTTTACATAGAAAATAAAAATATAGTACAGAGAATATTTATAAACCCTTCACTTTCAGTCATAACTCAGCCTTCACATACTACTAATAAATGGCTAGTTGTTAATGATTTACCTCTTTCATATCTGCCTTGTCTGGTTTATGTAAAAGCAAATCCAGGTCCCATCACCTCATAGTAATTACTTTAGTCCAGGGTCCCTCTCCCATGGGGATTTCTCTTCTCTGAGCCATTCCAAAGAGTAATATATATGGATAATTAGCTCTAGAGTGAAAGCTTCCTGGTTTTGAATTTCTTTGTTTCTCATAATCCAATCACATTGATAAGTGAATTTGGCATTACTTTGTGGTCTTATAAAGAAAAAAGTACATTTACATTATGTTACTTTTTTATATTGTAGTTTTATTTAATTATAATTCACATCTCACAGGATACAGTTTGCTAGTTTTAGTATATTTACAGTTCTGTACACCATCACAACATTCCATTTTGGACCATTTTAATATAATTAGCAGTTGTCCATTGATCCACTCCAGTCTCTACTGCTGCTATCTGTACTATAGTAATCTATTCAGGGAGCTTTGTATACAGAGAATCATAAAGTATTTAACTATTGTGATCGGCATTTGTATTAGTTACTCTTCTGTCGCTGTGATAAATACTGAGTTAGGGAAGAGTTCTAGTGGCCTGTGGTTCTAGAGGGACAGTCTTTCACCAGCTTTCACACATGGACGTCTCTTGACATAGGACACATTTTTTTAAAAGAAGGCTTTTGAGATTTCTCTTTGATACTTTACAGTCTCAGGTTATGTTTTGTGATTACATTACTCCTTTAACTTGCCTAGGATTTTTGAACTTTGTGCCTAGTGATTGCTGTTTTTTTTCAATCATAGGACATTTTCAGATATCCCTTTAAGTGTTGACTCTCCTATCCTTTTCTTCTTCCCTCTGAAATCCTGACTGAACACATGTTTTGAGCAGATGCTCAGCTGTTCGATTATATTTTTTGCATCTCTATTCTGGTCTTCCTTCCTTCCTTCCTTCCTTCCTTCCTTCCTTCCTTCCTTCCTTCCTTCCTTCCTTTCTTGTGTTCTTCCTTTCATTCTTCCTTTCTGTTTTCCCCTTCATGCTGTACATGCTCTGCAATATTTATTTTTCCATGTTCTAGCTCACTGGATGGTGATTTTTTAAATTGTGTCTAGTCAGATATTAAACATATCCAGTGACGTTTAAATTCTAACTGCTGTGCTTTTGAATTTCTAGCTGTCCTAGCTGATTTACTGTATTCCTCACAGCACAGGTATTTAATTCATAGTCAGTACTGGAGAATTCCGATCTGTGACATCAACATTCTTTCCTCCAGAGAGACTCTTGGGATCGTTACCAGTTCTCACCACTATTTTAGCAGTTTATTGCTGGGTAAGGAAACACCCTAAAATGGAGCTTAAAATAATGATGTAGCGTTCCCACAGGTGTGTTGGCATCGGCCAGGCTGGGCAGTGTTTCACAGCTGATATCAGTGAGAGGTTCATGCATCTGCACCCAGCTGCAGGCTGGCTGTGGCACTGCTTCTGACTTGCTTCACTGACAGTGTTGCAGGGGTACCTTTGTCCTCCTTTGTGCACTGCAGTACTCTCTCAGTGTGTGGTGTCTAGCCCAACATCTGTATTTAGCATCATAGGTGGGCAGGGTTCTTCAGCTGCAGTAGATTAACCACTTCTAGTCACAGGGCCAGTCCAATTTAAGAAGGAACAATCCCCCACACCCCCTTCTCCCTTTCTGTTTTCCTCCTTTTTGTTTGTGGTTACAGATTATTTATTGTAATTCCCCTCCCATTTTTATTCAAAACTCAGGGGGATTTGGTGGCTAATTATCCTATTGTCTTGGTGCCCTGTGAATTTGTGGAGTTGAACACAGTTGTACTTGTAAACTGAAGGTAGAATTAGTAACCACAGTGGCAGTTTCTTCTGCTTTAAAAAAAGATCTCGTTTTCATCATGCAGTAGTGGTCCAGGCCTTTAATCCCAACACTCTGGAGGCATAGGCAGGAGAATCTCTGAGTTCAAGGCCACTCTGGTCTACAGAGCAAGTTCTAAGATATCCAGGGCCACACAGAGGAACTTGAAAACCAATCAAACAAAAAAAAATCCTTTTGCTTTCATATTTATTGCCTTATATCCTTATGTTATTCTTCTACATATAGAATAGTAGCTTATGGTGATGTGGGCTAGAATTTTGGACAGGCAAGAGTCTTAGGCTGTGAAGACGATTTTAAATAAGTGTCTGTTGTAGATGTTTTAAAAACATGGGTCTAAAAACGGAATTTCTTTGGAATGTATCAAATTACAACAAAATGTAATAATGATCTACCTTATTGTAAGGTAAGGTTTCGTGTTTGTCCAGTTGGCACTCGTGTTAACCTTTATTCTCTGTGGTTTTGTAAAAGACTGATATGAATATATGAAGCATTGTCCAGTCTTCATTGTGACTTGCTGATTCAAGAAAAGCAAGGCGGGCCGGGCGGTGGTGGCGCACGCCTTTAATCCCAGCACTCGGGAGGCAGAGGCAGGCGGATTTCTGAGTTCGAGGCCAGCCTGGTCTACAGAGTGAGTTCCAGGACAGCCCGGGCTATACAGAGAAACCCTGTCTCAAAAAACCAAAAAAAAAAAAAAAGAAAAGCAAGGCGGTTAGAAGCCAAAGGAGCCTGGATATAAGGCCATACCTCAGCTTTTACTTGTCTTTGTTCATGTTTTCCATTTCTTAATCTCTCTAATTTCGAGATGCTTTTTATTCCTAGTGGTCTCTTTATAGATATTTATCTTTTGGGCAGCTTTAAAATAAGGCTTTTAAAATAATAGTTTATGTTTTATTTTATAGATGATTGTATATATCTAGAAGTAACTTAAAAGAGAACTCACTAACCTGGAAGTGAGTGAGTGAGTGAGTGCTTTTAAGGCCTCGCCATGTTCACTGTGTTAACTGTTTTATGTCCTAAACACATTCCAGCCATCACCCAGACCCTCTCCCCCTATTTACCACCCTCTCCCCTCTCTCCTCGCCTCCTTCTCCTTTGCCTGCATTTTGAAAACCACTCCCTGGCTGCAGTCAGTCAAATTCAGCTTCCATCCTTTCATGGTGGGAGCTGGTCCAAATGGCTGCCACAACAAGCTCTGCTGTTCATGGGCCCTATTCTCTGCATTGGGACCTAGGGATGAAGTTGACTGCAGACAAAATCAAAAACCAAAAAAACCCCAAATACTGCCAGGAGCCAGCAAATTGGCTTAGTGGGTAAATATACCAGCTGCTAAGCCTGAGGATCTGTGTTCAGCCCAGGACCTAGATGATAGAGAACTGACTCATAAACACATGCACACACATGTGCTTGTTCGTACGTGCATACACACAAACACAAGTAAATAAGTAAAATGCAGTAATAATTTTTAAAACCCTGTATAGATTTTACCATTAGGGTCCTGTTATTTTTATAGGCACAAAAAAAAATGATGTTCTCTGTTCTTGATGTTTTTATTGACACTATTGGAAGGAAATGCCTAATTGTTTGAGTCATGTACTACAATTTATTAATTTGGGAAAACTGGAGATAACAGGGTAGGCTACTAGGAAACATGGATTCCCTGACCAGAGAATCCCAGCCCCAGTCTGTGGAAGTAGCCCTTACTGTTAACTTTCTTCATGCGTTCTTCACTGTTTCTAGAAACTAACCACCTCGTTCTGTTCTTCAGCTCTCACTAGTTCATCAGCTTATATTACATTCAGTTCTCTTTTCCAGTGTTCTTGATTATTTACTGAATGTTGTGAAACAGTACTCAAAGTGCTTTATGGTTTTTGATATTGTATCCCCTTTCTTCCACCCCAGTAATCTTCATCTACCACAAAATGAAGGCATTACATGAAATGTACTATATCTCAGATCTGAGCATTCATTATCTCTGTGTGTACTTGACACAAATCCATTTCATCCCCTCATTTACTTAAATGCTCATATTCCCTGAAGGAATTTTGAGTTGTGTTTTGGAGATTAGTTTCTTTGTTATTCCCAGCTATGGTTGTTCCTTGTCAACTTAATCCAGAGATGATTCTATGTATGAATGGAAAACCTTGCTGGCCTTGCAATGTTTTTTTCCTGATTACTTTAAAAAGAGAAAGAGAAAGATTTGTTATTTTCAGAGTTTTTTAAAAATATTAATACATTTAAAATAAAAATAATTATTATTATTTATTTTGTGTATGAATTTTTTGCCTGAATGTCTGTGTGCTTTATGCATGCCTGATGCGTGCAGAGGTCAGAAGAGGATGTCATTTTTTTAGACACTTGTTTTCCTCTGCCCTTTCTCCCTTCCCTCCCTCCCCTTTCCTCATCTCCTTTGCCTGTATTTTGAAAAACACTACCTGGCTGCCAGTCAAATTCAGCTTTTCATGGTGGAGCTGGCCCAGATGGGTGCCACAGCAATCTCTGCTGTTCATGGGCCTGTGTCCCTGCATTGGGGACATTTATAACTAATAACATTTATAACTCTTGGAGCTCAAGTTATAAATGATTATGAGCAGCCATGTGAGTTTTGGGAATTGAACCTATATCCTCTACAAGAGCATCAAGTGCTCTTAACCATTTACCATCTCTCTGTACTCTTAAGGTTGTATGTATGTATGCATGCATGAATGTGTCATGTGTACATATGCCCATGCCCATGGATGTCAGAAGAGAGCATCAGTTCCTGGAGCTTGAGTTACAGGTGAGGTTATAAGATATCTGACATAGGTGGGAATTGAACTCTGGTCTGTGCAAGAGTAGCATGCACTCGTTACTGCCGAACCATCTCTCCAGTCCTGTCTATTCATATCTTTGCCTGTTTTCTTTTGCCTTCTGTAGTTGTGGCCCCAGTAGGAAATGGATTTCACACCCTCATTTTTCTTGCAGCATACTTATCAAGACAAACTGAATTCAGTTATGGTTAACTGTAGCTTCTGACATTATATTAAACTAAAGCCTGACCTGATTTAGTGAATAGAGATCCGGACCTTCCTCCAGTGTTGTCTTGACATTTGCAAACTTCATGTTCTTGGTCAGGTTTTTCACTAAGCTCTTCAGGTCTAGTGTGAAGGCAGTATTGCAGAGTGACCAAGAGCTTGGTACTTGAAGGTTGTTTGCCAGTTGTGGGGCTGGACAATCTGTCCTTATCTGTGGGTCTGTGTTCTGTAAAGTAAGAGTGCTGACATCCCCATCTACTTCAGATTGACATCTCAAGGCATCAGTGACTTAGATACATTCCCCCTCTCTGTTGGAAGTGCTAAGATGACAAGTCCTGACTGCTTTCTGGTTTTTTTTTTTTTTTTTTTTTTTTTCAGAGCTGAGGACCGAACCCAGGGCCTTGCGCTAGGCAAGCGCTCTACCACTGAGCTAAATCCCCAACCCCCTGCTTTCTGGTTTTGTGGTCATCAGCTGCCCTCTGCTATTCATTGTTAGCTTGTAGTTTCTGTTCACAGTTATAACTAGCCATCGTGTCTGCATCTTGTTAGCAATAGATGCAAGACAAGAAGGAGGCAAAGGACCCAGCCAGGCTTTCTGCTCTTTAAGTCCATATGTCCCTATGCCATTGGTAAAAACACAAGAACCTGGCCACACCCACCAGCCCTGTAACACCAGGAAATAACAGGTTTAACCTGGTACATCCCCCCCACCTTTCCAACCTCCCAACACATCAGTTACACTCCTAGCAAAGGAAGAGAAGATCGTTCTGGGAAATGATGAGCAGTATCTTCCTTAGGACTCCTTTCATACTCAGGAGAGAGATTGGTGCTTTGAAGACAATGCTTATATGGAAAAACAGAGAGGGAAATCTTATATTAGGATAAAGTTGCAGCATGTTTAAAACACTTAAAAAACCTTTTGTACATGGGGACTCTGTTGGGAGTTTTAATTTTTGACATTAGTATGAACATTTTAGGAAGAATATTAACACATATTTATCAGTTTTCTAGGAATAAAAAGTTAGCTATAAGTGATTATATTTTGTCTTAAAGAAAAGTTGATATTTACTATCTTGCTTTTATAAAGAATCAAACTATAATGACATGTTGCAAAAGGGCATATGAAAATTTTGATTTTAGTATAATTGCCAGGTTGCATCTCTTTTGAGTTAAAATTATTTTTATTGTATTTTTAAATAAAAAGCAAGAGTACAAATATTAACAAACTTTGTGATATTAGTAAGCTAAATATTTTCCTGAAATTGTTTTGTCTGCAGAATGGCTCTTTAAGCCCTTTGATTTTCTTTCTTTCTTTTTTGCTAATTCAACATGTGCCCACTTGGACCCCCACCCCCAAATGCTTGGCTTGGAGAGGGGGGAATCAAAGATGATGCTTAAATATTTACTGAAGTACCTACTACTACACCTCAGCAATGCCATGCACTTTAATGCCTCTTAGGGAATTGTATTTCCAGCACCTCCTACTTTTCTGACTTGTTCTGATTAATGCATATGCTTTTCCCAGAAGAGCAATCTTTTACAATTTTACAATGTAAAAGTACTGTCATGTACCAGGTATTGTCATGAAACTTAAAACAACCAGAACATGACCAAACTTAAAACATGACCTTTGTGCAGGAGAGAGTGGGGTGGTAATGGTTGTCTTGTTGGAATACCAATAGTTTCTGAGGGAACTTAGCTTTTCCTTACTTGGACTTTGAAATCCTCAAAACACACACACACACACACACACACACACACACACACACATACACACACACACACAGAATCCCAGCATACACCCTCACAGACACACATACACATAAGTAAAAAATATAATACAGCTTTTAAAAATAAAGTGAATTAAAAATAATTGTGCTTAGATTATTAAAATTACATAAAGGGACAGCCTTGGAGTGGTACCAGACAGTTAGTTGTTGGTTGTGGTATAGTGATGAACATACTTGCCTTCCAGAGTGAACATTGGGACTGGCTTTATTTAATACTGGCTTTATTTAATATTTGAGGTCACTATCTCATTGTCCACTGCCAAAGTTGTATATAGCACAGTTTGCTACTTCAACATTCATTGTTAGTGACTTTTTATTTCTCATATACATACTAATGCTTTTGCTCTGCAAGAAACACGCTGGGATCTCACTTTTCATACTCATAAAGTACATTGTACCAACACTCAGATCATCATCTTTTTCGCTGAGACTCAGTGGGAGAAGGAAATATAACTGGGGACCAGAAAGATGTTTTAATGTGTCTTTGTAGTTTTCAAGATAACTAAATTGTATATACTAATCTCAGTGTAGTGTTTTTTGGATGATTTGTAACAGACACACATAGGTCATGAGTTCCTAATGGTTGTGCTTTTGTTTGTTTGTTTTATTGTTTGGTAAGCTGGCCCTACTAACTTAACTATTTTTTTTTTTTAATGTTTTTCGAGACAGGGTTTCTCTATGTAGTCCTGGCTGTCCTGGAACTCACTCTGTAGACCAGGCTGGCCTTGAACTCAGAAATCCGCCTGCCTCTGCCTCCCAAGTGCTGGGATTAAAGACGTGTGCCACCACTGCCCGGCTCTAACTTAACTATTTTTTAAACGGTTTACAACACGTTAACTGTAATTAATAATGTACACTTTATAGTATTTTCATAACAAAAAGATATGTGAGGTAATATGTACCATAATTAGTTCTGTTAGCCATTCCACAGTGCTCATATATTTCAAAATATCATGTCATATGCCATATTTTTATCAACTAAAAATATAAGACTTTGTTTAAAATATTCACATGTATATGAAAAAGTAAAGAAAAATCAAAATGGTTTATCAAAATGTAATATGACAGTATTTTCAATCATAATTATTAAAAATTCACTGAATGATACACCTAAAGTAAATGTGAAATCATTTTTGTAAAACTAAATGAAATGATGAAAGATTTAAATTTAAGGAAGTATTGAGATTAAAATTATTTATTCAGCATTTCTTAAGAATTCTAAAAAAGGTTAATGAACATCTGTTACAAGGAAGTAAAATCAATGGGGTGTAATTAAGACTAAATTAATAGGCTAGCTCAGTTTTACACTTTAATGTAGAAGAGTTTGTGCTTTATATCCTGGAAGATATTAATCAAAATTACTTGTATAAAGTTGAGCCTAGCCTCAAAAAGGAATTTCTAAAAATTAGGTAGATCTTTATAGATTAAGAATTGTTTTGCACGCCGGGCGGTGGTGGTGCACGCCTTTAATGCCAGCACTTGGGAGGCAGAGGCAGGCGGATTTCTGAGTTCGAGGCCAGCCTGGTCTACAGAGTGAGTTCCAGGACAGCCAGGGCTACACAGAGAAACCCTGTCTCGAAACACCCCCCCCCCCAAAAAAAAAAAAAGAATTGTTTTGCAATGTGACCAGGTGTATTTGGATCCTGCACCAGTACAACTAGTACAGTTGAAAAAAACCTGTCATGGTGTTGTGAAGGAATACGGTAGAGTTGCCCCATTCTTTGATATCTAATAGACTTCCTATTTTGTTTTTGTTCCTTAATGTCTAATTCAGTATTTCACATACATAATACCTAAGCGATACACACATACACTTTGCACACACACATCCTGCCGCAAGTGCTGGAGATCAAACCCAGGAGGACTTGCTTATGCTAGGTAAGCCCTCTACCAGGGTCAGCCTCAACCCAAGTTGTGGACATTTTATTTTGGTAGAGGAGTTTAGTCAAATATAGAAAACTTGTAATAGCATTCAGGATACAGTTAAGTACTTGTTTGATAGAAACACTTTAGCCAATTATGTATTTTTGTCAAAAAAAGATGATTATTATTACCTCTTCACAAATGATTTCAGGTAAATTTAGATTTCATCTTAGATATACCTCTGTGCTCAGCAAATCCTTATTTAACATTTCCCCTTGTGTTTGTTGACAGAACAAATGAATTTTAATAGTAGCTTAAACAGAATGTGATTAGGAAGCCAGCTACAGAAGAAGTCCTGTGTTTTGGAGCTGTACACATACATTCACAAGTTACAAGCTGTATTGGATGGTCTGTGTTACATCTCTGCTTACGAGCTATAACCATTATGACTCAGACACTAATTTTAACCTCAGCCAGCATCTTTGTATTGTGAGGTATTTACTCATAACTCATTAAATAGGCTTAACTTTTAGATTGTTTTATCATCTGTATTTTTCCCACTGATTTTAAAATTGCTAATTAAATGTTATTTTGTTGTAAATTTTTACATAGAACTAGAAAGTCTGAAGAAAATAATGTGTTTTTAAATAATTAAATGAAGTCTATTTTTCTTATGTTTTTATCTTAAAATAACTTACTTTATTGCATAAGAAACTGTATGTTTATTAAAAGATTTGTACTATGTTTATGTCTAAGTAGGAAGCATAACTTACGTACAGCTCTGCACTTTACATGGCTAAGACTTGTGACTAGGAGGATGTCCTTGCACTAAGTAAGGTTATTAACACTTCTCCTGAAAGTCGGAACTAGAAGTGCTCTACATACAAC